GTATCTCTCCTTGGAACTCTGCATTCAGATGGATGTATCTTTCTTTTTCTCCTTTACCTTTCATTTCTCTTTCTTTTCTCAGCAATTTGTAAGGTCTCCTCAGACAACCACTGTGCCTGTTGGCATTTCTTCTTCTTGAGGACAGTTTTGATCACCGAGTCCTGTACAATGTTAGGAACCTCCATCCATAGTTCTTCAGGCACTCTAACTATCAGATCTAATCCCTTGAATCTATGTGTCTCTTCCACTGTATAATCATAAAGGATTTGATTTAGGTCATACCTGAATGGTCTAGTGCTCTATCAAGTTTCTCCTCAAATGTCGGTTTATCAGACTGGTTATCCAATCTCAGCTGGCTCACCCCACCCCTCTCTATTCCCTCACCAGGCTTCCTTTTTTTTGGCCACACCAAGTAGGAACAGGATCTTAGTTCCCAGGACCAGGGATCAAACCCCTGCAATGGAAACGTGGAGTCTAAATCATTGGACCACCAGGGAAGTCCCCAGGCTTATTTTCCTGATGTGCTTAATCACTCAGTCGACTCTTTGCAACCCCATGGACTGTATCCCACCAGGCTTCTCTGTCCACGGGGACTCACCAGGCAACAATACTGGAATGGGTTGCCATGCCCTCTTCCAGGGGATCTTCCCAACCCAGGGATTGAGCCCAGGTCTCCCACATTGGATGTGGATTCTTTACCATCTAAACCACCAGCACTTAGCATTATCTGAATTTATCGATATCTCTTGTCCTACTGGCTGCCCAGTGTATCATCTCCATGAGGGGAGGACAGTTTGGGTTTTCTTCACTTCTATATCCCCAACTCTTAGGACACTGTTTGTTTTAGATATACCAGGCACTAAATAAACATTCACTGAATGATTTCACAATCTATACATATACAGGAATCTATTTTTCATGATGAGTGAGTATGTTTTCAGCATAGTAGGTAAAACATAACCAAGTCAAAGGAGAAACAGGACTTTACTATAATAAATAAATTTTATTTTTTCTACCATATAGTTTAAGAAAACCAGACATTAGTATAAGCTGGAAGAACATCTCTGAGTCTGGAAATAGGTCTCTGCCTTTTCATTCATAATGGACTGTCGACTAGAAAATCAGAGGCTGGCATTCAACAATATGTAACAAAGTGTTGATATACAGGGTTAACAGGTGTTTCATATATAAAGGATACCATGGCCAAACCAAATTCAGGACAAAGCAGATGGGAATTAAAGGTTTCTCTGACACATTTGACAAAAGATTCTTTTCCAGAACAGCATTCTGCCTTCCTCAGACTATCTCCTGGGAACTGAGTTCCTTCTACAAAAACACAGTGAGAAAGATTGCTGCAGACCAAATATCTAAATCACTTTGTATTCAAAAGCCTTCTAAACATCCCACTTCTAGTTCTAATCAACAAGGACCTATTCTTGTCTCTTTTTAAAGTATATTTTATTTATTTTGGGCCGCACTGCATCTTTGTTGCTGCGTGCGGGCTCCTCTCCAGTTGTGATGCGCAGGCTTCTCATCGCAGTGGTTCCGCTTTGTGGAGCAAGGACTCCAGGGCACTCAGGCTCAGAAGTTCAGCAGTTGCAACTCCTGGGCTCTAGAGCTCAGGCTCAGGCTTAATTGCTCTGAGGCATCTGGGATCTCCCTGGACCAAAGATCACACTGTGTCTCCTGCATTAGCAGTGGATTCTCAACCACTGGACCATCAGGGAAGTCTGACAAATTCATGTCTTTAGGAAAGAAGGAGAGTTCCTCTCCAAAGACTGCACAAGGAAAATTAAACTCTCCATTTGCGACTGAAGGAAGAGGCAAGTGACTAAATGGTCTCATTCAAGCATACCTGAGTTTTATCACAATGAAAATGATTGGTACATTTTAGAGTAGTATTTCTTAAGCCAAGGGAGGGGGAAGAGGTACATCCCTTTAGGAGTCTGCTCCCCCTCTCCCCTTAGGAGACAGGGCCTTGGTGAGCAATTGCTACCAGTGGGAATATGGTATATCTACAAAGGGTACTGAGATGTTAAAAAAAAAAGAGAGAGAGACAACTGCTACCTTAAAAGACAAGGCTTCCAAAGTGGCTCAGTGGTAAAGAACCCACCTGCCAATGTAGGAGCCACAAAAGACCTGGGTTCATTCCTGGGTTGGGAAGATCCCCTGGAGAAGGAAATGGCAACCCACTCCAGTATTCTTGCCTGGAAAATTGCATGGAGAGGAGCCTGGCAGGTTACAGTCCATGGGTTGCAAAGAGTTGGACACAACTGAGCATACATATACACATTAAAAGATATCCTCCCAGTGAGGTTTTCAACTGACCCACTGCCAATCTTTTTAATTTCTGGAATGGCTTAGCAAAACTATATTCACATTAGACTTCATAACACTTAATGATAATGAATATATTTGAACACATTCTCATTCAACATTAGAAGTTTCCAAATCAGTGTACTGCAAACTGTTATAAAATTTAATTGTAACACTGTCCAAAGGTATACAATGGGACTACGTTTACCAAATGTATAAAAATATTATGAAACACTTGGCCTTATTTTGTTGATTTAACATTTCATTTTCATTATTAAGCATGCTGAAAAAGCAATGTAACCAAAGATTAAATATTCTAAAAGTCCTTCAAATTAGTCACCTGTGATCTTTCAACTACTTCTGAGCTAAACGAAGAACCTTATGTTACTTTATATAAACAAGAGAATTAAGAAGCCTTCATGCCTTTGGCATTACTAAAATGGAGTACGTAAACTTAGTACCTCTGTCCACCATAAAACTGAAGTTACATTAGGATGAAATGGAAGCCCAGAACCCCTGGTAGAGTAAAATTCCAGTAGTAGTGTCAAGCTCTTGCCAAAAAGACAAATTTTGTCATGCAGCTTGCAATTAATGTACCAAAAATTTACCAGCCTATATAATTTTATCAGTCTACCTTCCCCAGAGGAAGTAAACAGACAATAAAACTAATGAAATCATATTTGTTGACCACTCATATCCGATATAAATTGCTACTTGTCTTCAGAGGATTAGTTGATGAGCTATTTACAAACTCATTCAAATGTCTGGGCCAGTTAACCATAGAGGCAGTGTTCTAAGAAACTGGGGTGTTCCTGAGTCAGCAGAAGAGGGTCCTGCATTGTGATGGATGGCCCCTTAAGTCGTTAGCAAGTGCATGTCAGGGAGTGCTGGGCCTCTGTTAAAAGCTGTTGTGCATCAGCATTTCTGTACTCTATGAAAACACCATGAAATACTGAACTTTTAAGGAGTAATGCGACAGATGAGAAAATATTCAGTGTTTTAGTACTCCCCACAGTAGAAAGCAGAGGACACAGCCTTAGGTTGTGAGCTGCTGAAAGTCAAACCAATCAAAACACAGCGGATGGGCCCTGTGCATCCTGGAATCCGTGACACCAACATTTCTGCAAGTTTGGCCCATGGCCCTCCTGACAATCACCTGGGGAACTTGTTCCAGTACAGACCTTCTGCAGGAAACCAACATTTTAAACTAGTAAGGCAGCATCTCCTGATTCGCCTGGAGGATCTACATTTATCATAAGCTCACCAAGTGTTTCCATCCCTTTGGCAAAGTCTTTAGTATCCTCTGCACATGAACATTAAATTCTGCAGCACATATGAAATGCTGAAGCAACATTAAATGTATAACCTCTCCAAATAGTGTGATGTCATTGGTTAAAAGGTGATAGATGAGTACAACCGATTGGGATTAACTCAGTCAGTGCCCTCTGGGTAACACACTTTACCTGTGCTGCATAATACTTCACAGCATCCAACTGGCGACAAGAAAACAGAGCAAAACAGAACATCTGACATCCAGCCACAGGCTGTGAACTTTTAACAAAATCCAAGTCCATAATGACATGGGAACCTTGCATGGTGAAGCAGAATGAACTTGTGGGAAGAAAATGGCTCTTTCAATTCATTCCCTTCACTAGGTGGGGAAAGGAAGAAGGCCCCTCCCCAAACCAGGTTTCTTCATTCTGGAATGCCTTCCCAGTCCCCACAGCTCCCACAGACTCAATCTCTGCTTTCTCAGGTTCCCAGCTCATCCTCTTCCACTGTGGCAGGAGAGGCTTTGCCACATGAATCTCATCAGATGAAGCGTGTTCCATTTTCCAAGAGTAATACTTCAAGGGTAGTAAAGCTTAATCCAATTATTTAACAGTACAGCTCTACGGGTGGTATGCCTAATCCAGCTGTTTAAATAGAATTGGAGAGCACACTTTAAATAAATTAAAAGCTAAATGAAATAATAATTTGCATGAATGAGGACTGACTTGAACCCACGTCCCCCTTTTAAAATAGTACTTACAGAATCCAATGCACATCTAGAGAAATGTCCCCAGTTAAATACCTCATTGACTTGAACCTGCTCAAAAACGCCAAGATATCAAGCATTATAAATATTGATGGGCCCTGTGCATCCTGGAATCCGTGACACCAACATTTCTGCAAGTTTGGCCCATGGCCCTCCTGACAATCACCTGGGGAACTTGTTCCAGTACAGACCTTCTGCAGGAAACCAACATTTTAAACTAGTAAGGCAGCATCTCCTGATTCGCCTGGAGGATCTACATTTATCATAAGCTCACCAAGTGTTTCCATCCCTTTGGCAAAGTCTTTAGTATCCTCTGCACATGAACATTAAATTCTGCAGCACATATGAAATGCTGAAGCAACATTAAATGTATAACCTCTCCAAATAGTGTGATGTCATTGGTTAAAAGGTGATAGATGAGTACAACCGATTGGGATTAACTCAGTCAGTGCCCTCTGGGTAACACACTTTACCTGTGCTGCATAATACTTCACAGCATCCAACTGGCGACAAGAAAACAGAGCAAAACAGAACATCTGACATCCAGCCACAGGCTGTGAACTTTTAACAAAATCCAAGTCCATAATGACATGGGAACCTTGCATGGTGAAGCAGAATGAACTTGTGGGAAGAAAATGGCTCTTTCAATTCATTCCCTTCACTAGGTGGGGAAAGGAAGAAGGCCCCTCCCCAAACCAGGTTTCTTCATTCTGGAATGCCTTCCCAGTCCCCACAGCTCCCACAGACTCAATCTCTGCTTTCTCAGGTTCCCAGCTCATCCTCTTCCACTGTGGCAGGAGAGGCTTTGCCACATGAATCTCATCAGATGAAGCGTGTTCCATTTTCCAAGAGTAATACTTCAAGGGTAGTAAAGCTTAATCCAATTATTTAACAGTACAGCTCTACGGGTGGTATGCCTAATCCAGCTGTTTAAATAGAATTGGAGAGCACACTTTAAATAAATTAAAAGCTAAATGAAATAATAATTTGCATGAATGAGGACTGACTTGAACCCACGTCCCCCTTTTAAAATAGTACTTACAGAATCCAATGCACATCTAGAGAAATGTCCCCAGTTAAATACCTCATTGACTTGAACCTGCTCAAAAACGCCAAGATATCAAGCATTATAAATATTTTAGGCCATTGTAAACTGGGACCACGCCACTGCTTATGGTAGTTAGGATGTTGTAGCTTAATGCTGACAGTTGGTACGAAAAGCTTATGGTGTGAATCAGGTTTCCTTTTTATGTAATTCCGGCTCGGGAATCCGATACAGAGCAGATGAGAAATAAACTATGTTGCTGAGGCTGAAGATGAGGCATAGAAGTATGGCTCCGGCTATCTGGGCGAACAACAGGGGCCTGCAGTGGGCCAGGAGCCACTCCTTCCTCAGAGTCTTGTCCAGAAGGATGGCTTCCATCTGCATGTGCGTGGCCAGGATCACACACACATGAAACAGCTGGTGACTGTGACCTAAAGCAAATACACAAAAGGCCACCAAAATCAACGATGAGAAAGGAATGGATACTGACAACACCCTATGGCTTGTGTGCTAAAAACACTCTGTGGCATAAAAGAAGCTAGATACAAGATACCCACTGTCTGGAAAAGGCAAATCCATAGAGACAGAAAATAGACTAGTTGTTGTCTTGGATAGGGGGTAGGAGTTGGAATTAACAGTACATGGGTAGGAAGGATCTTACTGGAGTGACGAAAATGTTCTAAAACTCATATATGGTGATGGTTACACAATGTGGTAAATTTGCTAAAAAAAAAAAAAAAAGATTGAATTGTACACTTGAAATTAGGGTATTATGTTATGTATAACGCACGCGCTCAGTCGCTCAGTTGTGTCTGACTCTTTGCGACCCCATGGACTGCAGTCTGCCAGGCTCCTCTGTCCATGGAATTTTCCAGGCAAGAATAATGGAGTGGGTTTCCATGCCCTCCTCCAGGGGATCTTCTCAACTTAGGGATCAAACCCATGACTCCTGTGTCTCCCGCATTGGCAGGTGGATTCTTTACCACTAGCACCACCTGGGAAGCCCATATGTGATATATACTTTCAAGTTTTTATTTTTTAAATATCTTATGAGAAAAATAAAAAGGCCATCAGAGAAAACCAAATCCATTTTTAAAACAACTTATCCACCAGTCCTATTTTTCACATGAGAAAGTTCTGAAGTTTACCTCTTGAGAGCTGTCACCAGTCAGATGTGATTCTGACTTCAATACCAGAGGGGAAGCCAGCCAGACTTCCTGTTGGCCACTTATGAGATGCTCCTCTCCCTACTGCTGGTTAATCCCAGACACAGTGAGGGGCTCTTCCTCTCTGATATCGCACAGGACCCCGGTCAGCACGTATGCATCCCCAGAGGGTGGGAGCCCAGTGGACGGAGGCTGCAGTACACAGGGGGTACTGCCTTGGTAGCTGGTGAGAAAAGGAGTCCATTGCCCAGGGCTGGGGATTGCTTCAGGGGACAGTCCACAGAAACCAGGAGTAAGATGAGAAGACCGCATGTTTCATGGGCTGAATTGTACCTCCCCCTCCCAAATTCACATGTTGAAAGTCTTAACTCCCAGTACCTGAGAACGTGACCGTATCTGGAGATAGGGTTTTTAAAAGACAATTAAGNTACCTGAGAACGTGACCGTATCTGGAGATAGGGTTTTTAAAAGACAATTAAGTTAAAACAAGGTCACTAGCATGGGACCCACTCTGGTATCTTTATAAGAAGAGGAGATTAGGATGTACACGTACACAGAGGAGAGATCAGGTGAAAAGAAATGGAGATGGCCTCTGGCAAGCCAAGGAGAGAGGACTTGGAAGAAACCAACCCTACCAACCCTTGATCTTGGGCTTCTAACCTCTGGATACTGTGACTGGAGGGGCCACACCTCCCTCACTCAAGCCATACCACTAGGCTGTGTACACTTTCCAAATCTGTGTGTTTTGCGGCAGAAGTGGTTCCTTATCCAGCTGAAAACTGTACTGTCCGAGGACACAGGGCCAAGCAGTAGGAAGTGACCAGCTGTGCTCACCAATTGAGGCACCAACCCGTCTCCATTAGGGCAGGAGACAAAAAGACGGAAGAGCCAAGAGCACTGGACAGATGTGAAATGGGCCTGCAGCGGGAAAAGTGATGTCAACACTCCCGTCTGGCAGGAATAGGGAGGAGCTTCCTGTGGGCACTGGGGAGGAAGCTCAAAATCTGGCTGACTCTGTTATTTAAGGACAGAGATCTTTCCAAAGCCCTTGTTTAAGATGTTGTCGTTATCTGCCATCTCTGCCATATCTTCCCAATGGAGTGTCTTTCTGCTCTAGGCCCAAAAGGACAGGATAGAGGTGAGCAAATAAAATGTCATTAAGAAGCCAGAGTCGGCAAAATAAGGCTCAGTGTCTATTTGTTTTTCCTGCCGACCCCAGACTTTGTATATAATCAGCTCTATTTCCTCCGGCTGGGCTGGGGCTTAGGGAGGTGGACATGCTGGGCAGGCTCCTTGGGCAGGTTCCAATCCCCTGGCCCTCTCATCTCCCTCCTTTTTTGAAATCTTCCCTCTAACCACTTTGCTCATTGTGATCCCTTCTGGCAGAGGAGAAGGAATAAAGGAGATGAAACTCTTGTCAAAGCAAAATGTGGCCACGTTTCTTGGGTATAAGATGGAAACTCATGGACAAAATGGGCCTGGAGAGAACCGAGGTTCCTGCTCGCCACCTGGGGGTGAGGACTTAGATCTCCATGGTGGCATATCCAAGGAGCTCTCACCCCAGGAGCCCTCAGCCTCACCAGAAATGGGCAAGGCTCCCTCCTCCAGCCAGTCCCAGAGCCAGGGTGGAGGAGACACGTTCCACAGCACTACCCACGTCCCTCGACAGAGAGGAAGGAACTCTGCCAGCAGCTATAAACCCCTGGAGCTCGGACGCCTCCTCTTCACCACTTGGCTTCTCTGGCTTGAGCATGTTCAGGCTCCCCTGGAGAATCACTTGGCTTCTGAGAGAGTGCTGGGCCCACCCCAGTTGGATGTCTCGGGGGGTGGGGGCTGAGATCCGCACGTTCCCAGGTGAGGCTGAGACTACTCGTCCAGACTGGGAACTGCTGAGGCTGGGAGGCACTGCTCTACCACGATTCCTGGCACCATCACACCCGCCTGAGTGAGACTCTCTTTCCTCTCCTTGGCACTGCCCTCCGCCGGCTGATACCCTCAGAGCCTTCTGCACACTGTCTTCCCTCTTCCTCTTTACAGCTGCCTTCCATGGTCACTTAATAATGGGATTTCCCGTTCAAGGTAATAATAGGACTCTCCTGTCCCCATACCCGCCAGAAATGCTTTAGAATCCTAGACCCACCTTCTCTCCATCCCCCACCACCCTCCCTGGGCATCCACGGTCTGTGTACATCCTGGCCTCTGTCTCCTGGCAATTTCGCTCACCTTGGCCTGGGCCTGGAGAACCTCCTGAGGCTTTGCTTCTCACCCTGCCCCCGCCTCCCCTTGTCAGGGATGGGAACGCCCCCTGGGCAGCGGGGCCCCCACGCGCTCACCGATGTAGTCGAAGCGTCCAGGGGCCAGGCGCTCTGGCAGATTCGCAGAGTAGAAGAAAGAGGCCAGGAGGGTCATGGCCATGTGCTTCTGGTGGTACAAGGTGGCTTCGTTCTCCGCACTTTCCCCGGGGAACAAGAATACCTGCAGGTATTTGAAGAAACGTCAAGCCTTAAAACGGATAACCTGTAAGAACCTACAGTATGGCACAGGGAACCCTGCTCAACATACTGTAATAATCTAAATGGGAAAAGAGTTTGCAAAAGAATAGATACCTGTTTATCACTGAATCACTTTACTGGATGCCTGAAACTAACACAACATTGCAAATCAACTATACTCCAAGGTAAAATGAAAAGCTTAAAGAAAGAAAGAAACATCAGGTCTTGAGAGGAGGTCTGTAGACCTCCCCACACACATGAGTGGACTCTGCCCCAAGGCCGTTCCCTCCCGGCATCTGTGCTTGGAAAGGGACCTCACAGGGCCTGTGTGAGCAGGCTTCCTGTTCTGGGTGTGAGCAACTGAGACCTAAGGTAAGTGTATTTTAACCTCCTGCATGCTCATGAGAGCCTTTGGGTTATTTAGTTACAAAAAATGAAGAAAGGAAGGAAGGAAAGGAAAACAAGAGGAGAGAAAAGGAAAGAAAAAAAAAAAAATCTTGCTAGATATATCACTACCCTGCCCCACCCCCACCTGCATGGCTAAAATGTTAAGTATGGTTAAAAAATGGCCCATTCACACCTGAACTCACTTTTAACCAGCACATCCCTTGAACTGATGCTCTTAATTAAGGTTTTAAGGCCTAGGAATTCCTGGAAGGCCTTCTGAGTCATCAAAACCTATTCATTGCGGACATTACCCTGGTCTGGAGTTTGGTATGGTTTTTGTACGATTGTTAAAACTAGCGGCAGCCACCACCTCCGGAAGGCACTAGGCCAGGCCTCCTACGTGCATCATTTCACCCAGCCTCAGCAGCGACCACAGGGCAGACTCCATTTCCCCCATTTTGCAGATGAGAGTAACTGGGCTGGAGGGTGACTTGCCAACCACTAATTAGTAAAGTCAGGCTGATCTGCAGAGCCTGTGGACTCAGCCACAGCACCGTGCAGGGTCAGACCTCTCCTCCCCACCGCCCAGCGCCTGATGCGGCTGAGTGCCAGGAGCATCCAGGACTCACCCTAACGCGAGCCTGTGCTGTCTGCTCTGGCGGCCTGTGGGGCTGGCTGGTTCTCTCTGCGCTGGTTTCCTGGGTGTGGTCTGTGTCCTCCAGGAAGGATTCAAGGGAGTGGGCTGCATCCCCCTCTCTGGGTCTCCCCAGACCCACACGGGCTGAGCATGGAGCACAGCCTCAGTGCCTCAGCTGGTGGAGCCAGCACGACCCTCTCCTTCAGCCCTGGGCGCTGCCATCCTGGCCTCAGGCATCAGACTCTTACACTGCCTCCACCCACGGGGCCTGGGCCCAGAACTGCTGAGCCCATCAGCTCTGCTTATTTGATGACCCCTCCTCTACCCCCCTGTGAAGGAGGGGGTGTCAGCCTCATTTAAAGATAAGGAAACTGAGGCTCAGAGAGGTTATGTTCATTGCTTAATGTCACACAGCCAGTGAGCCAGTGAACGCATGGCCATCTGGGAGTACGTGAACTTTCCCTCTTCTTGTCTTCCCTCCTACACCCTCTTCCTGCGTGTTCTCCATCTAATTCCCATCTATCCTTTAAGACCTTCAGTCATACGCTTTCCTTCACCCCTACTTCTATGTTAATTGATGATAATATATAACAATGCATTTATGGGACTCTCACCACCAGCTAGCACTGTACACATTATCTCATGTAATCCTCCCCATAGCCTGACACAAGGAGGTGTTATTACCAGGCCATTTTACGGATGGAGGGAAGTCAAGACACAAAGATGGTAGAAAACTTGCCTGAAGTCTTGCAGTGAGTGAATATTAGAGATTTGCCTCCAGAGCCCACTCTCCTGCTCACTCTACTAAACCCCAGGGCTGCCTCCCCTGCCCAGCCCTCCGAGATTGCTCCTGAGCCTCCAGGTAGCCCTGGCCACTGACGCATCTCCTAGAGCCACCTACCTAGAGCCCCTTGCAGGGTCAGACCTCTCCTCCCCACCGCCCAGCGCCTGATGCGGCTGAGTGCCAGGAGCATCCAGGACTCACCCTAACGCGAGCCTGTGCTGTCTGCTCTGGCGGCCTGTGGGGCTGGCTGGTTCTCTCTGCGCTGGTTTCCTGGGTGTGGTCTGTGTCCTCCAGGAAGGATTCAAGGGAGTGGGCTGCATCCCCCTCTCTGGGTCTCCCCAGACCCACACGGGCTGAGCATGGAGCACAGCCTCAGTGCCTCAGCTGGTGGAGCCAGCACGACCCTCTCCTTCAGCCCTGGGCGCTGCCATCCTGGCCTCAGGCATCAGACTCTTACACTGCCTCCACCCACGGGGCCTGGGCCCGGAACTGCTGAGCCCATCAGCTCTGCTTATTTGATGACCCCTCCTCTACCTCCCTGTGAAGGAGGGGGTGTCAGCCTCATTTAAAGATAAGGAAACTGAGGCTCAGAGAGGTTATGTTCATTGCTTAATGTCACACAGCCAGTGAGCCAGTGAACGCATGGCCATCTGGGAGTACGTGAACTTTCCCTCTTCTTGTCTTCCCTCCTACACCCTCTTCCTGCGTGTTCTCCATCTAATTCCCATCTATCCTTTAAGACCTTCAGTCATACGCTTTCCTTCACCCCTACTTCTATGTTAATTGATGATAATATATAACAATGCATTTATGGGACTCTCACCACCAGCTAGCACTGTACACATTATCTCATGTAATCCTCCCCATAGCCTGACACAAGGAGGTGTTATTACCAGGCCATTTTACGGATGGAGGGAAGTCAAGACACAAAGATGGTAGAAAACTTGCCTGAAGTCTTGCAGTGAGTGAATATTAGAGATTTGCCTCCAGAGCCCACTCTCCTGCTCACTCTACTAAACCCCAGGGCTGCCTCCCCTGCCCAGCCCTCCGAGATTGCTCCTGAGCCTCCAGGTAGCCCTGGCCACTGACGCATCTCCTAGAGCCACCTACCTAGCGGCCCTGGTAGGCGGTGGCTGCCTATGTCCGTCAGGGCCTCTGTGTTCATGCCATCTACTAGTCTGCGAGTGCCATTAAGGGAGCAGGCGGGGCTCTACGCCCACGTGTTCTACTGTGACCAGGACAGCGTCTGACCCCCAGAGCTCAGGACACAATTGATTCCCGGGTGTTGCCAACAGACAGAGAGGGGTCGGAACAGGGCCCTTACCCTGAATAAGATGGGAAGGGAGTCCCAGGTGTAGGGGAAAGCAAAGGCCAGGACACGAAGCATCTTGCAGAGCCCAGGCTTCTGTATCTCAAAAAACCTAAATCAGGAAAGGAAACGGGCGAGAAATGAGAATGAAAAGGAGTTTCAGTCAATAACACACACACACACTAAAAATAACCAAGGCCAAGTAACCCACAGAAACAACCACTTGTGCGCAAACTCCTCCCTCAGCCAGCAGCGTCTCCACCAGCCCTCTCCACTTCTCCCCCACCCCCCAGGGGAAGGGCTCCATCTCAGATGTGAAAAGAGTTTGGAGGCACCATCTCCGGCACCATAAGAAGCAATGGTATCCAAAATCAGGGAGGAAGCATGAAGCAAAAACTCTTCAAGGGCCAAGTTGTCTAACTGCTGAAAAGAGCCTCCAGAGGTCAAATCAGCAGCCACTAGGAGTGGGAGACTGTGGGGCGTGGGCGGGCTCAAACGCACAGGCTCCTGGGGCCAGCACCTCTGCGAAGGGTGAGATGCTTAAGTAGTCAGAGTCACCAGGTGATCACCCTGCAAAAGCCCTGGGTACAATTAGGTGTTTAATGACAAGAGATTTCTGGAATATTTAATAACACACACAGGAATACCAGGCTGGGGAAACTGAGTAAGCATGGTCCTTCCTTCTCTCTTTCATCACCATCCCCACCTGCCTCTGGTTCAAAGACAGAGGAAGCCAGCATTAAAATGAGGGGTGCGGAAGTTGCCAGACGGGCAGGTGCTTCGGGATGGAACACCATGGGGCTTCAGCTGGCTTGGGCCGAGCCTGCGGAGTGGGCAGCAGCTGAGGGTGCGGGGAGATGGGGACCACAGATGGCAGGCTAGACACTGAGGGGGCAAGGGAGCTGGAGGAGAGGCTCCGCACAAAACCACATCCCTGAAGTGGGGCTCAGGCAAGGGAGAGCTCACACTCCCAGGCTGGGCCGGGTGGCAGGGCAGGCACCCGCTTCAGTACCATATCGTACTGGGGGGCTGGGTTCTCCCTGGGTACCCACAGGACTGTGAGGCCAGAGCCTCCCCCTGCAAAGGTGATCTGCAGAACCAGGGAGTTGAGGCTTGTAAGGTGGCTGTTATGGGGCCGTCTGTTAGAGGACGGGGGCGCTGGGGCCCTCCAGCCCTTCTCGACAGTCCTGCCCCTCATCATACTCTGCTGCAGGTGGGGTCTGCTCCTCACCTCTGCTCCCCAGGTGCCCTGTCCCAGCCCACTCGCCCACCCTTTCTCTACCAAACAGGGTCTGCTGCTCCCCCAGCCCAGGTCCACCCCACCCAGCAGAATCTTCACATCCTCTATGAACCAGTGCAGTCACCTGACTATGAGCTCCACTGTGCCCACCTCCTCTGGCATAGAATATGGCAGAGACACCCCCATCTGCCTCCAGGGTGGTCAGGGAACCCTCCTCAAGGGTGGGGCTGGGTCTGCTCAGCTCTCCAACCCCAGCATCCGCTCAGAAGTGTGCCTGAGGATGTGGACACCTGCTCGGCAGCCCAGCCTGGGAACCCCTGTTCACCATGGGCCCCAAGAAAACCCATAACCTCCAGAGATGAGCTTCAACTTCACTCAAGCCCAAGGGCATGTCCCTTCTTCTTTTCTGAGCCTGTGGACACTGGGCAGAGAAGGAAGAGAAGCTCAAGGAGGAGGAGGAGAAATAAGGGACCTCCACTCATCATCCCCCAGAACAGAACCCCAGCCTTGGAGGAAACCACAAACCCTGGGATTGGCGAGGCTGCACAGGGTCACGATCTGGCAACAGTGTTTGTCTTGGACACCCTGAGTCTGGTCCAGTCCCTGACCTTTGTGACCATCTCAGCCAGCGTGTGATGTAACCCTCGTGTGCCCCAGAATCCTCATGTATACCACGGGGATGACTACAGAAACCCTTATGGGCTTGTTGCAAGGGTTTAATCAAATGATGCTCACTGGGAGCTTACAGCTGTGCAGAGCACAGAGTAACACTCATGAAATAGCAGCACTTTTTTTATGTGTGTTGTAGGAGCCATCCTCTCCCTCTCCCCATCTTGTAGCCACAAGAAATAGAAACAGGAGGGAACAGATAAGTTCTGGGTGATTTGCCTAAAATCAGCTGAGCTAATAGGAGGCAAAGTGAGGATTTACACCCAGGCCTTCTGGTCGGCTTCCCACTCTGTCCCCTTGGGCAGGTCTCAGAACACTCCCCAGTCTCTGCTCTTACAGACACCCCTCTGCCCCAGGAGGCGAACGGAACACACTTCCACTGCTGCAAGAGTCAGAGCCCATATTTCGGAGGGCCTTCTCAGTCTACACTGGCCAACCCTGCCCGACCACGCAAGCCTGCTCCCTCCCTCCCCACGCTCTGCCACCGCCTATCACCTCTGGGTGCAAAGAGACTTGCTCTTAAAGCACGCTCTCTCTGCGGCCACTTACACAGGAAGAAAGCTGGCTGTGGTTGGTGAGGGCCATCCCCCAAAACATGGACTTCCTGCGACTTGAGACATGGCGCCCGGCCTGATAAAGTACTTCCCCAAGGGCAAACGAACCAGCCTCTCCAGCTGCCAAGCCGAGTCTACAGAGGGAAAAAGGAGAAAAAGCAGAACAGAAGAGAGCAGCAGAGAACAAGAGGCAGAAGGGCCAGCAGCCACAAAGACGGTGGGCCTCCCACCACCAAAGTGCAATTCCAAGTAAGGCCACAGGGTGTCGCCACAGCCAGAGACTCCGAGAGGGAGGAGAAGGAGCCAAGGCATTCTCCAAAGCGCACCACGTCTCCAAAGCCTCGCCCGGTACAGCAATGCCTGTCCCCCAGGGCTGGGAGTCAGGGAGTCAGGCCTCCTCTGCCTAGAATCAGGTGGGCAGGAAACACTGGATTTCGGGAGAATCCTCCACCAAGAAAGCACTGATACAATACCAGTCTACTCTAAAACCCAATAAATCCTGTTGCAACAAAGCTGGACAGACATACAAGTGAATTCCAGAACCATGCTTGAAACAAGTGGGCCTTTGGAAACATCATTCTATTGCTGTGTGTGTGTGTGTGTGTGTGTGTGTGCGCGTGCGTGCGTGTAAAGTGGGGGAGGGGGGTGGTATTATGGCTGTTTTGTTGTTGTGTGGATGACATAACAGGAATGTGGACATTTCCACGTGCTGACCCTTGGCCCCAGCAGCAGTCTTTCATCTGGCTGAGCCCTCTGACCTCTGGATGTGTCTGGGAAGCGCTGTCTGCTAAGCCTCCCGTCTCCGGCTCTGACCTCCAAACCCTTCCAGGCCTGCCCCATGCCGCTCTGAGCTGCCGCAGCACCACTGCCGAGGCATGGCTCTCATAGCACAGCTCACATTCCACCAGGGACGAAAACCCATCTCTCCCTCACAGCACTGACCACAAGGTGTTCCACAGAGTGCGTATGTGTCTAAAAATCCAACTGCTGGATGCTCCGGATGGATGAACGAAAAAGTACCCACAGAGACTCGTGATGTACAGCAAACACGTGTAACTACTATTCCTGAGCAGGTGGTGATGCTTCCTGGGCTTGCAGGTGGTTAGTAGGCAAGAGCAGGCAGGGTCTCTGTCACACCTACTTGGCTCCAAGAACCACAGAGAGGTCATATGTTCTGTCATTTCCCCTGTAAACACTACAGAACAAGAAGGCAGTTTTCTGGAATGTGTTCCTTTAAACTAAATTCCATGATTGTTGTTTAGTTGCTAAGTCGTGTCCGACGCTATGCGCCCCCATGGACTGTAGCCTGCCAGGCCCCTCTGTCCATGGGATTCTCCAGACAAGAATACTGGAGTGGGTTGTTATTCCCTTCTCCAGGGGATTTTCCTGATCCAGGGATCACACCTGCATCTCCTGCATTGCAGGTGGATTCTTTACCACTGAGCCACCTGGAACGCTCCCAGCTCTATGCAGAATTTACCTAAAGGACATGTATTATGTGGGAATGAAGGCCATTCGGACCACACTACTCTGGGAAGCATGCGGATAACTAAAGCACAACTCATGAGCTCCAGGGCCTCCTTTTGTGCTCAGGAAAAGAGGTGGTTCTTGGGCTCCTAGCCATACTGCAGACTGACGCAGCAGGAGGGCGAGGCAGGGGCGGGCCTAGGGGATGCAGGGGAGAAGGCAAGGAGAGAAACCTTGGAAAAGTCACTGAAGCTGGCATCATAGATGCCTAAACAGAAGGGACCCAGGGGACTTCGTCTCAGGGGCCCCTGCTTAAGGGCCATCACTGGCCCAAGGCCACACAGCAAGTCTGTGAAGCTAGGCCTCCAGACGGCCCTTGCCTGCCCCCTCGGCTTCCCCTGCAGTTAATCAGGGCCAAGTCTCTCCCCACGCAAGCGTGAGCCCTCCTCCTCAGACACCGAAGACGAAGACAGAGAATGAAAACTAGACGAAGACAGAGAATGAAAACAAAGGGGGCAGGTCTTGTAAGAGCAGGATCCGCCAGCACACGGGAAGGAGCGAGGACAAGATGCGAAGGAAGCGGGACAGGCCCCCAGGGGGACGGCCCACTCTACCCTTGGCTCCAAGCATGTGGCATTTGCTTCTTTCCCCCTTCCTGTTCCCTGAGCCCTCACTGAGTCCCACAGGGCATGGTAGCTGAGCCCACAGAACTGTCTTCCTAGGAAGTGTTCTGTCCTTCCTGAGCACAAGGCCAGTCCTCTGGAGGACACACGAGGAGCCTCCGACCCCCCATCTCTGGCTCGCTCTTCCAGCCTCTATCCCCCTCCCCTGGCAGCTGCACAGGCTCTGGCAACTCTGAAGCTCCCTGCTGTCTCCCAGCACTGGCCCATCCTCGCCAGGCCCTCACCCTTGTTCAGGCTCTAGGCTCTGCCCAAAATGCCCTTCCCTCTTCTCCAGCTAAAGTGTTCAACCTTCCTCAATGCTCGATTCTAAGGCTGCTTCACAGAACTCTGGCTATCCAAGTAGGCGTCATTTTGTATTACCATTATTTGTTCATGTTATATTCTGTAATGCTACATGCTTTAAAAAAAAAAAAGCCTTTTCCTCTGGCCTTTAAAGGAAATGTTGACTCAATCTAGACATTTTGGAGGTCTGCAGTCTGCTGCTTATACTGCATGGGGCACTCTGTGAGGACAAGGACTGAGCCGCGCTCATCTCCATATTCCCCCAGAGAGGGGTTTACCCCCACTCACACCCCAGGCCTTCCCACGAGGTGAAGCAACACAAAACCCAGGCTTGAGACTGAGCCAGCAAACGAGACTCACCCCCATGGAAAGCAGCTCCACGCTGCCCACCTGCCTCAGGACAGGTGAGGGGAAGGCAAGTTGGGGCAAGCATTCCTGATGCTATTTAAGGCTCTCCTCTTTGACTTTTAAAGAAAAGCAGCTTGTCAAATTTGGAAAATCTGCCTACCTCTGGGTCCCACAAAACCCAGTGTCCCCCAAAGAAAGCTGGAGCCAAAATCATTGTGGGGAAGTTGCAGAAGCATACCTCGCCACTCCAACCCCTGCGGTTTTCTCCTGGGGAGAGAAGAGCTATGGCTGCCAGAAATAAGAATGCTACAAGGCCACAGCTCACGAAAGACACGGGCTAGCGGCATGGATGGTCAGGACCGCCAGCCTTCCTTGGCGCTCTTGCTAACCCACCGTGGACGGCCCCCAGAACCTGGCACCACTACACAGGAACGTTACCCCAAAACACCATCGTTTGAGAGGCTTCCTAAGTCATTTTGGGTACTTTGTTTTTTACCAAGAATAATCTAGAGTAGTTATCCTAAAAAATGCCCCTTGTACTCACATCCCAGTGAGCTTCCTTGAGTGAAAGGAAAAAAAAAAGAATTCGAGCCAGTGAACTGGGCATGACTCATGGCCATCAGGCTTCCCCTGGGGATGTGTCAGATGTTTGAATATCATCTATGCATCACACACATGCATATCTTGTTGTATTGCACTTTGCTTTATTGTGGCTTTTGCAAATTGAAGGTTTGTGGTAACTCCGTGTTGACAGATGATAGCATTTTTTAGCAATAGCGTATTTTTAAATTAAGATGTGTACCTTGTTTCTTTAGACATAATGCTATTGCATGCTTAATAGACTATAGTGTAAATATAACTTTTATATGCACTGGGAAACCAGAAAGTTCAATGACTTGCCTAGTGTGAAGTTGATATCTTTGCAGTATCTCTGAGGTGTGCCTGTGGCTAGAGGCAGGCCCCTCTCAGTTCCTACTAGCCGACCACCCGTTTATGGAGTGCCTCCTCTGGGCCAGGCTTGTGCCAAGTGTTCTGGATATATTACATCCATCTCACAGGGTAGCTGTGTTAACCCTATTTTTCTTTTCTTTTTGGCCAAAGCCACATGACTTGTAGGATCTTAGTTCCTCAACCAGGAGTTGAGCCCAATCTACAAAAGTGAAAGTGCCAAGTTTTAACCACTGAACTTGCCAGGGAACTCCCTTGAGCCCATTTTATAGATGAGCAAGCTGAGGCTCAAGGAGAGTAAGTGACTCGTTCAGCAACAGGGCCAGCTATATCATTTGCAGGGCAGAAGGAAAGTACGGGACCCCCTTGTTCAAAAATCATTAAGTGTTTCAAAACAACAGCAGCAGGGCATGAGACAAGTGTGACGTCCTCTCGATCATGGAGCCCTGAGCACAGCACAGGCCATGTGCCTGTGAAGCTGGTCCCGCCCAGCCCCTGAAGTCCGAGTGGAACTGAGCCGCAGGCTCCCCAGCACCTCTTCCGCTGGCCCCTCCGACAGTCCGGGGAGCCCCGTGCTCCTGCCCCTCACCCCAAGCCCCCTGTGGCAGAGCACCCAGGTACCTGGAATAGCAGGAGAGCCAGATGCTAACGATGGTGTTCAGCACGGCCAGGGTCAGGTAGTAGTCATGGAAGGTGGTGCTCACCAGCGTGTCCGGGAAAACATAGGCTGAGTAGGCGATGGCACAGCCTGGGGGAGCAAAACCTGCCTTGGGCAAGAAGCCAGGCCTCACCACTGTCTGGACTCCCTGGGAAGACCACCCCTCCCTGCATCTGGCTGAGCTCCCATCACCCCCACAGACCCTGAGCCGTCCTGCACCCCACCCTAGCTGTGCCATCACCCCCTCCCCCAACCTATAGGTCCCCGTCTCCCTTCCCTGCCCACCCGGATCCCACCCTGAGAACTGTTCTGGGAGCCCAGTGCTGCTCCAAGGGCTTGAGAGGTATTAACTCGCATAATCTTTACAGCCCCCCTCGGACATCAGTCCTAAACTGATGCTCATTTTACAGATGAGGAAACAGAGGCACAGAAAGATTTGGTAACCCACCCAGGGGCACACAGCTAGAAAGCAGCAAAGCCAAGCTTCAAACACAGGCAGCGCAGCAACAGTCCCTGCTTTTAGCCACATGCTGTGGTCCCCGATGACACCCCAGTGTGCTCGGCTTTGCCCTGAGATGACGATACGGGTGTTCCTTGTGGAATAATCAGCGGTGTGGGGCAGATGGTGCAGGGAGGGAGAGCCCTTGCTGAAGGGGGGGCTGTCACATCAGGGGGCTGCGGGCCAGGCCAGCTAAGAAACCGAGCACGAGGGGCTAGCCTCGGCGTTTTGTGTGGTTTTAGGCTTCGGAGTTTGTGAGGGAAGGGTTACCGAAGGACCTTCTAGACCCTGCCTGCTGCAGCTTTTATTCGAAAGAACAGGGGCCAGCACTGTCCTTTTCAAAGCGGGCGGGTGTGTCCAGGGGTCTGGACCTGAGGCCTCTCCAGGCCGAGGTCCCTCTGGGAGAGGCAGCCACAGATCTGTCAGCCTAGTGCCTAAGGTCAGGTCTAAGGTCACCTGTTATCCAAAGATAGAGAGAACTTGGAATCCAAGTTCAAAGCTGCAGCAGGCCTCAAGCCACGCAAGTTCAGCCTCTGCCTTTGATCCTATTTGTTGAGATGTAGGGAAGCTGGGGGACGTGCCCAGGGTCCCACAGGCAGTAAGGGCCAAAGATCACCACCACCTGGGACAGCGCTCCCACTCCTGCAGGTCGCCTGTGCGATGCCAGCTGGGAACGGCCCGCAGGAGGACAGACAGACCCTTCTCTTAGCCTGGTACTGTGGGGAGGCTCCCACGTGGCCCCAGAGGCTCGCGGTCTGTATATACTGGCTGGGGCCAAGTCCCATGGGTGACATGAGCGAGGGAGCCCCAGCGCCTGCCAGAACTGCAGTGGGAAGCAAAGCCGATGAGAGCCTCCATTGGCAGGGTGAGGTGGGTGCTGAGGATGGGTGTGCACGCAGCAAAGGCGCTGGCCCTTTGGAGGTTCCGACAGGTGCTTGGGGGCAGACGGGGCTTTCCCAGGAACAGGAGCAGGACACAGCGCTGGGTGCCAGACCAATGAAAGTGTACATCCCCTTTCAGGCAATGGGAGCCACCAAAGGATTTTAAGCAGGGAATTAAAATGGCCAGAGCCTAGTCAAAGCGCACATGCACGGGAGGGCTGAGTGGGAGGGGAACAGTGGGACACCAGCGAGGAAGCCGAGCGAACGCCACCCTCCAGGGGTTGGGGGTTTCCACGGGGTCAGGGAGGAGGAGAGGTGGCTGCAGGCAAGGGAGCCCCAGGGGGACCCCCAGCCTCTCTCAACTGACTAGACCTTCCTCTCAGGTTTACTGAGCATCCCCCCAAGTCAGACTCTCAGCTACGGACCGGAAAACCAGATGAGGAAGATGCATGAACTGTCCCTAGGGAGCTCTTCCCAGTGAGGAGTGGAAATGAGGGAATCACTGAAGGAGCTCCAGGGAGGTGGATCCAGGCCCGGGGACTTGAGGAAGCCACAGGCAGGGGCCCTGAGGCTCCCAGGCCCTGGCTCTGCCATTTACAAGCTGCGCAACCTGGGTAACTGACCTTTCCTGTTCTCATCTACAGCACGGGTGTAACGGTATTCCGCAGCTCAGGGCCCTGCTGTCAGGGTGGGTGGCTGGAAGCCGGCCGTGGCGGGAGTACATACACCATAGCTATCGGCCCTCACCACAGACTGGGACTTCTGTCCCCAGGGAGCCGGTTGGTCAGTGTTTGCCAGCACACCTCTGGACAAGATTCTTTTAAAACCCTCATCAGACACCCGGGCAGGGGCCCGGGCATGGCAGTGACCCTTCTGCAAGCTCAGCAGAGCCTCGCAGTGAGCCCAGCTCCCAGGGGAAGGGGCAGGTGGCTCGGTCTTGGGGGACAGAAGGCGCGAGCAGGGCCTCACGCACCCAGGCTGAAGAGGTTGACGGCGCCATAGTCCAGGAAGTAGCATATGTGGCGGGCGTTTCTGGACATGGAGCTGAAGGTGTGTGCACAGCTGGACGCCAGGGGGAACAAGCAGCTGGCGCCCATGTACACTAGCAGAGGCCAGGAGTAGCTGTCGTTCAGGATGTCCGTCGCTTGCAGGGTGCTCACAAACCTCCACGAGAAGAACCTGGAACACAGGGGTGCACTCTCAACCTTTGGGGTGAGGGTTCCTCCTACCGCCTTCACCTGACCGTCGCCTGCCTTCCCTTCCCCTGGGATGACCAGCCCCTACATGGTCTCACTTTGATGACATACCAGGAGCAAGGAAGAGTGAGTGGGGTCCTTACTGTTTGGACATATACAGGAAGGGCCATGGTCCAGTCTGCATACTCTGCATGTGGTGACAGATCCCTCTTACAGCTTCTTGCCCAAGTGACTCTCCACTTTTGGCTTGCATGCTTCCAGGGATGGGGAGCTCACCACCTTTCAAGACAGTTCTGAGTGTTTGAAAGTTTCACTGAGCTACCATCTGTCTCCCTGGAATTTCTCTCCACTGGATCAGTCCCAGTTCTCCCTATCAGCACCACAGACAACAAACCCATCAAATATCTCACCACTGTCTTCATAATCCCTCCCCACCTCTCTGAACTTCACATTAAAGAACCTCAGTGCATTCAGCCATTCCTCATAGGATCCAACTTTGGCCTTGTCATTCTCTCCATGGTTGGTCAGGCTCCCCTTGTGGGAAGAACCCTCAAAGAGAAACAACCCCTCTTTCTGGAAAGTCTAGAAGGCAACAGGACTATTTTCTACCCCCTCTTCTATGCTATTCTTCCACTAATATCACCATCTCTTCTTCGGAGGGGCCTGGTCCCAAGGCTCCGTCTCAGCCAAGCCTAGACCTCCAGATTCGTCTCTTACAGAAACACAGCATAGATCCACGTCAGGTCTGCCCAACCCATAACCCAAGTGAGGGGGTCTTTCCTGCAGAAGCTGTTCCCTTCCAGGAACTACTCCTAGAGAGTCAGGTCCCTTTCCCACAACTCCCCCAGGGAAGGGACTAAAAGCTCTTCATGGGGAACCGCGGGAACATCGCTCAATCCTCTTGCAACACTTGTGATTTGTGCCCACGCTTGTGATCTGTTCCCTCTGCTGTTCTTCAAAACGTATCCTTTTACCATCTTGGGATTATTCCCGAGTCCTACGGCCCTGGGGCATCTTTCTCCTGCTCTCCCAAGCCCTTCCTGCTGCTCCGTGCTGTGCTCTCAGGGCCCTGGTGGTGCAGGGGCGTCGGGCCCAGTGGGGCGCTCTGGCCAGCGTGGCTCAGCTGTAGAATGACTACAAAGGCATGTGCATGCAGCAACGCAAGCCCCACCAACAGGGATGGCCAGGCTGGTACTTTGTAGCAACACAGACTTCCAAACAGCCTAAGTCACCTGTCGTTTATCCAAAAAATGGAACGCCGCACAGCTGTACAAAAGCCAGAGTCAGACAGAGATCTCGAGGCCGAAGCAATGCAGGAGCAGAGGGAGGAGGGAAGCAGGTGCTGGGTGCACACACACGTCACAGATGCTCGAGTCTCTAGAAAAGCGTCCTGGGAGGATTACAAAGAGCAGGTCACCCCAGCCACTCCAGTGAGGACAAGAGGGGTTGCAGGAAGACAACTCTATTCCCTTCTGCAGTGCTACAGTGTATCAGCATTTAGACTTTTTACTTAAATTTTGTTGTCGTTTAGTTGCTTCAGTTGTGTCCAACTCTGTGTGACCCCATGGACTGTAGCCGCCAGGCTACTCTGTCCATGATGGGATTTCCCAGGCAAGAATACTGGAGTGGGTTGCCATTTCCTATTCCAGGAGATCATCCCGACCCAGGGATCAAACCAGTGTTTCCTACATTGGCGAGCAGATTTTACACTGAGCCTCCAGGGAAGCCCTTATCTAGGTTTACTTCAATTTAATACGACAAAGAGCCTCCCTGAGCAGACCTTGCTGCCTTCCTGGCCAGGCTGAAGGCCCTAGGGCTTCTTTGCAGGTGGTCCCATCCCACAGTAAGCCTGGGCTCTCTCTTCTCTGCCCTTGATGCATCTGGCACAAGCAGCCTTCTGCACATTTTGGCCCAGGTCTGACTGCTGGCTGAGCAGGTCTCCTTCCTCGGGCCCCTCTCCGCCTGCAGCACACCCTGGGGTCCCTCCTACTCCCTCTGGTCCTCAATACAATCGGAAGAGGGAAGTCCAGAAACTAGCCTGTGCTAGAACTTGCCATGAGATATAAGCAAGCCATGCCCTTCCCTGGGCCGCATCTGTGTCAGCTGGTGGTGGTGTGAGGGGGCCGGTGGCCTGTGTGACCTCCGAGGTCCTTCCAACTCTCACATACTATGATCCCATCTCTACCCGCCACTCGCTATGCCCAGGCACCGGGTGTGCGAAGCTGGTCTTCAGACCCCATCTTTCTAAGCCAGGTCCCTCCTCACCTCCCTGGCAGTTCCCACCTGTGTGCATGCACTTGCCAGAGCATTCATTCTCTTGGCTGGCTCCATTCAAGTGCTGCCTGACCAAGTGCCTCATAGCGGCTGTGGTCCCAGAATGACCATAAGCATCCATAGCTCTGTGCCCAATGCCTTTTCCCACATCTCCTCTGATAACCCTCGGGGCAACCCTGGGAAAAGTGCAGACTCTCGCTCCTGCTCCGCAGATGGGAACATGCAAAGCCCAGAGAGGTGACTTATTCAAGGTAGGGAGTGCTAGCCAGGGCTTCTAGAAGACTCAGACAGCCTCCAAGACTGAATAAGACAATGCTCTCAAATCAGGCCCTGGAGCAGGGAGCAGGGAAAACTGGGGAGCTGCAGGAGCCCCTCAAATTCTACAGTAATCCATGCCCTAGAGCTCACCCACACCCCCCGGCTCCACACCCATGCACCACGGGGGGAGTCCCCCACATTCCAGCATGGAACCTCAGCTTGCCCCATCCCAGCTGTGTTTAATGAAGCCCCGGTTCCCAGGCTCTGCATGAGACAGCTGGACAAGGGGGCCGGGAGGTACCAGAAGGGCAGCAAGTGCGTCCAGATGTTGAGGGTCTCATTGGTCATTTGAAAAAGGCTGAGGAGGCAGGCAGTGGCGGAACTCTGTGGATGTCGGTAGCCGAAGAGGATGCCCTGCTCATGGAACACCTGTAGGGGGAAGAAAAAGGGACGCTGAGGTTACACAAGAGGGTGGCCAGAAGGTCTCAGGGGAACGTCTCTGGTAGCATCCGCCTTTCTCCCAGGCTGTGTACTTGTCCACTGGAGCCTGGAACACCTGACCCCGAGTCCTTGATCTGTCACGCTGCTTCCCGCTTCCTTCCCATGGCTTCTAAAATCTCGTGTCCTCCCAGGAGCCTGCAGTCAGCTGGAGGAGCGGATTCAAGACCCTGACTTCCTCTGGGAATCCAGCCTATCTGTCCATTCCCAGAGGCACTTACTTCTGTCATGAATGTTGCTTAAGAATCTGGTTTTGCACCCTCTGCCTGGGGCCTACAGCCCGGTCTTCGGATGGTTGACATATATGCTGCCTGTCTGAGCCAATAAGCCCTGCATGTCAGGGGCTTGTAGGATGATCTCTGCAGGAGATCCCCCCGGGGCCCAAGGTATATTCACCAGAGCGCTTCACAAAGGCCTTTTGATGAAGACTATGATGGCATCAGCCTGGGCTGCAGGTGGAGGAGAAGGCCCACACAGACACCCCCCACCTCAGGCAGCCCATCTGGCAAGGCTCTTGGCAACCACCTCACCCCAGATGAGAAACTTGGACTGGTCAGGTAAAATATGGGGTGTCAAGCTGCTTGGAGGACTGCGTTACAGCCATTTAAAACGGTAACTATGAAGCTCTACCTGGCAGTCTATTAGCTCACAATCCATCTTCCAATGTAGGGGAGGTGAGTTCAATTCCTGGTCAGGGAACTAAGATCCCACATGCATGCTCAAGTAGCTTCAGTTGTGTCCGACTCTGTAGGGTTTCTGGGTCTTGACAATGCTGACATTTGGGGCCAATTCTTTGTTGTTGGGGGGCTATCCTATGCATTGTTAGTAGTATCTGTGGCCTCTCCCTAAAAGATGCCAATAGCACCCGCCATGCCCCCTTCCAAGCCGTGACAACCAAAAATGTCTCCCAAAGTTGCCATGTTCCCTGGGGCAAAAACCTCCCCTAGTTAAGAACCATTGATTTAGCTGAATGTTGCTATAATCTTTGAAAGGTAAATAGAAATGAGTAGATTAATTGAGATAAATAATAATGACAATAAATTTATGTAATGTAAATTGCTTATATGACCAACCTAGACAGTATATTAAAAAGCAGAGACATTACTTTGCCAACAAAGGTCTGTCTAGTCGAGGCTATAGTTTTTCCAGCAGTCATGTATAGATGTGATAGTTGGACTATAAAGAAAGCTTAGCACCGAAGAGTTGCTGCTTTTGAACTGTGGTGCTGGAGAAGACTCCTCAGAGTCCCTTGGACTGCAAGGATATCCAACCAGTCCACCCTAAAAGAAATCAGTCCTGAATATTCATTGGAAGGATTGATGCTGAAGCTGAAACTCCAATACTCTGGCCACCTGATGTGAAGAATTGACTCATTTGACAAGACCCTGATGCTGGGAAAGATTGAAGACGGGAGGAGAAGGGGATGACAGAGGATGAGATGGTTGGATGGCATCACCGACTCAATGGACATGAGTTTGAGTAGACTCTGGAAGTTGGTGATGGACAGGGAGGCCTAGCATGCTGCAGTTCATGGGGTCACAAAGAGTCGGACATGACTGAGCAACTGAACTGAACCAATGTAAATGGAGTCATGATAAATTTTAAAGGTTTCCATCTGGTTTTCTAGGGCTGTGGAAGGAATGGAAGGCTGGGAGAATTCCAACCTAGACATTCATTTCCCATTCGGGTTACCAACTTCTTAGTTTAAGAGAGAAACTTGATTCAAAAATATACAATATTTGTAATGACCTATAATGGAAAAGAATATGGAAAAGAATACATATGTATGTAAATACGGATGTATGTTTCAGGTGTACAACAAAGTGCATGCCTTCACTTTATACTTGCTTATATAATTTGCTATACAGCTGAAACACAACACTGTAAATCAACCATACTTCTATTTTTCAAAATGATTTAAAAAATAATAAAGAATTTCAAAAATACAAGAATAAACAGTGTATCATAACCTCTGCTACCTCTTGAGATTCTGAGTCAAGTGGTCTCTTGGATGACTGCAGAAAGCAGGGCAAAGAGTCGAATCTGGGCCAGTGAGGTGCTAAATGACTTTAAGCTGGGCCACGGCTCTCAGAGTTCAGTGTCCTCATCTATGAAATGGGTGACATCAGCTTACCAGATGGCGAGGGCATTCCCATCTTGGTTCAATTCTGGGTGAAACTGGTCAACTAGGGGGAGAGGAAGAACAAAGTTGGTTCAAGGTCCAGTGAAGAAATACTGTTTGAATTAGGTTTGGGTTTTAGCTAATTTTTTGATTAGCTAAAATAAAAAAAATTTTAGGTTTTGATTCACCATGGTTTCTGCTGACACTCCCAGATTACAGTGGACAGCCTTCTCTAACGGGCAGCAGGAGTCTCAGCTTGCAGCAGTCTGCCCACCAGGGCTGCTGTTCAGTTCAGTTCAGTTCAGTCGCTCAGTCGTGTCCGACTCTTCATGAACCCATGGACCACAGCACGCCAGGTCTCCCTGTCCATCACCGGCTCCCGGAGTCTACTCAAACTCATGTGCATTGAGTCAGTGATGCCATCCAACCATCTCATCCTCTGTGGTCCCCTTCTCCTCCTGCCTTCAATCTTTCCCAGCATCAGGGTCTTTTCAAATGAGTTAGCTTTTCACATCAGGTGGCTAAAGTATTGGAGTTTCAGCTTCAACATCAGTCCTTCCAATGAACACTCAGG